AGCGCCTCACTGGGCCGCCCAAACCCCCCGGAGTGCTGCGCCGGGCCAGGCCGCCCAAACCCCCGCCCCCCGCCCCCCTCCAGTGCCGGGCCGCCTAAACCCCCGCCCCCCCCGAGCGCCGCACCGCCCCGGGCCACCCAAACCCCCGGAGCACCGTGCTGCGCCGCCCAACCCCGCCCCCCAGCACCACGCCGCCAAAGCCCCCGCCCTCAGCGCCGCACTGCAGAATCATCCCCCGCGCTGCCCGGCCGAAACAAAACAAACAAACAAAAATACCTCGAGCGCCGCCCCGCCAAACAAAAAAAACAAAAACACCGTGAGCGCCCCCCGCCACCCCAACATTGGCCGCCCCTTCTAAGGTGCCGCCCCAAGCACGTGCTTGGTCAGCTGGTGCCTGGAGCCGGCCCTGGGTATTATCGCCCATTCTTGTGATAGACCTAAAGTCTCTAGCTGCTCTCAGGAAACATGGTCACGATTTCATTAAAACCTCCCTCCCTCAAAGTAAGGCTGCCCTTTATAAAGTTGTCTATCATTTTCCATTGTCTTCAGTAGAACTTACACATACCTCTTAATCTTCTTACCTGCTGATATTCAGCACAAGCAAACAATACATGACAATTGACCAAAATATGGAACAACCAGGGTAGATAAAAATGGATGATTTTTTTATTAAAAAAAAAATCAGATTTTTTGATAAAATGCTTTTAGAGGAAAAACCTATCTAAAGATCATTTTAATTAAGACACATTACAGCTCAAAGATATCTCATCATGGAATAGGGCTTATAAATTCTAATTCTATAGTATGAGACAATATATTCATGTAATGTTTAAGAAAAGTTTTGTAAATGAGATCCAGTAGTTCATGGATTAGGGACCCAATCTTATGGAGTTCCAGGGGCTTCTGTATAGATTATTTAGGTTAATCTTTTATCTACCCAATGGCACTCAGTGCTCAGTCTAGAAGATACCATCAGAGATGCTTAGTTTTGCAGTTCTCAAACTGTGGATTTGTGTCTCCAGAGATAACATGCTTGTTAACAGCAAAAATATTTTTAAATAAATAAATAAATATATAGAGGTGAGAAATAACAGACCTGAACCCTATTGTCCCTCTGCAAATTTGTGTACACAGAGTCAAGCCTTTACCCAGGGCCGCCCAGAGGATTCAGGGGGCCTGCGGCAAAGCAATTTTGGGGGCCCCTTCCATTAAAAAAAAAGTTGCAATATTATAGAATACTATATTCTCGTGGGGGCCTCTGCGGGGCCAGGGGCAAATTGCTCCACTTGCTCCCCCCTCTGGGAGGCCATGCCCTTACCTCTCTCTAAAAGTGTAAAGTTTCAAAAAGTTCAATCAATAGAAGATTGTTGGGGGCGGAATAAATTTGGACAAGGAGAAGAAGTCTGGAGATAAATGTGAGAAGGGAAGGACAGGCAGTAGAAACAAAAGTGAAACTGTTTGAGCAGCATATTCCAGAAGTCTTGAGGTCTTTCTGGGTGTAGCATTCATTAATTTGAGATCTACCATAGCATTCTCTCACTAGAAGGGAAAACCTATAATGGCAGCAGGCTGTAAAAGAGACCCAGTTTGGGAATATTTTAATGAAGTTCCTCTACCTGTGGGTAAGACAGGCATGCATGCAAAAAGTGCAACAAAGAAATGCAAGGCCTGTTTGCCCAAATGAAACAACATTATGAGAAGTGTTCCTTCTCAGGAGGAAGCTGCGCTGAAGATGATGAAAGGAACATGTCTGAACATGCAGGATCTTCAGGTTGGTAAACTTTTTTATTTCATACTTCTTTCTTAAGGACTGCCTGCCTTCCTTCTGGACTATTCTTGAATTCTCATGTTTGAGCAAAAAAATATAGCTGTTACTCTATGGTACTATCATTTTAGATGCGATAAAAAATAAATAGCTGAAATTGGCAGATCTTCCTTTTACAATTTCACCTTTAAAGTAGTACCAAGTGTCAGTGAATGCAATGAGTAATACTCAATGAGCAGTACGGTAGTAATAATAATTAAATAACTGTATTTACTTATTTTATTTAGGAGAATCCATCCTCAACATACAGGATTCTGAAGACTATCCACCTTCAAGATCACCATCATTTTCTATAGTTTCAGAGTTATCTGCCAATGATAGTGTTTCAGTCACATGATGTATGTCACAAAGCCACAGTATATCACCTGTAGCAAAAAGAAAAAAAATCTCCATCATCCCGAAACAACAATAGATAAGTTTCTGATAAGAACCAGCAGATTACAAAAAGAAGTAACGGATGAAAAAATTGCCCGGTTTGTTTATGCAACAAACTCTCCTTTCCGTATGACTGAGAACCCACACTTCATTAACATGGTTCAGTCATTAAGACCAGGATACAGTCCACCCAACAGAGCAGATGTCGCAGGCAAATTGCTGCATAAAGTGTATGAAAGAGAAATTGATCAGTGTGCAAAAGGTCTAGTGGGTGAAATTGTTAACCTGAGTCTTGATGGGTGAAGCAATGTTCGCAATGATCCTGTTGTACATGCTTGTGTGACAACAGGAGAAGGGAATGTCTTCATTACAGAAAAAATTTATACATCAGGAAATGAACACACAGCAGAATACTTATAAGTACCAGCAGTAAAAGCTATAACAAACTGTGAAAAAAAATTCAAATGTCTAGTACTCAGCTTGGTCCCAGACAATGCTGCAAATGTATCCAAGATGAGAAGAAATTATTTAGAAGAGAGTCCCAAACTAATAACATATGGTTGCAGTGCTCATTTGATGCACCTCCTAGCCAAAGACGTTAGTGTTCCAGAAATAAAGGCTAATGTTGTTGAAATTGCAAAATACTTCCATAACCACAACCACTTTGCAGCAGCTGCTCTGAAAAAAGTGGGAGGAACCAAGCTAACTCTCCCACAAGACGTGCGATGGAATCCAGTAGTGGACTGCTTTGAGCACTATATCAAGAACTGGCCTAATTAGATGACCGTTTGTGAACAAAATCATGAAAAAATAAATGGCACTGTCACAACCAAAGTTCTCAACATTGGGCTTAATAGAAATGTTGAACACATGCCGAGTACCCTGAAGCCTATTTCTGTAGCCTTGAACAAAATGCAGGGAAATAGCTGTTTTATTGTTGACGCTATTGACATTTGGAAGAAACTGAGGGAGATCTTAAAAAGAGAAATATGCAATGACAGAGTTAAATAACAAGCATTAAAAAAACGAATGGGACAAACATGATCTCCAGCTCATTTTTTGCAAATATTCTCAATACTCGGTACCAGGGTCAAACCTTAACTGCTGAAGAAGAGGAGTTGGCTATGACATGGACATCCAGCAATCATCCCTCCATAATGCCAACTATAATAAACTTCAGAGCTAAGGGTGAACCATTCAAGAAATATATGTTTGCTGATGATGTTTTAAAGAAAGTCACACCAGTGAACTGGTGGAAGTCACTTAAGCACTTGGATTCAGAGACTGTTGAAGTGATAACTTCACTTTTAACACCAGTAGCTTCTTCTGCCAATGTAGAAAGAATATTTTCTTCCTTTGGACTAATTCATTCCAAATTGAGAAATCATTTGGGACCTGAAAAAGCAGGAAAGCTTGTTTTTCTTTTCCAGATTATGAACAAACAGGAAAATGAAGGTGAAGACGACTGAGTTAGCCTCAGAAGCCAACATTTTAAGTTTCTCATGTTGACCTGGCTGACAGTCTATTTAATTTTGGGGTTTTTTTTTTAAATATATTTCATTTAATTATTGTAGTTAAAAACAATTTTACCAAAAACAAATCTGATTTTAAAAAACTTGAATGTTTAACTAAATTCAACAGAGGGTCTTGTGGCACCTTTGAGACTAACAGAAGTATTGGGAGCATAAGCTTTCGTGGGTAAGAACCTCACTTCTTCAGATGCAAGAC